TAAATGAAAGCTTCAGCAGATGGCAAGATCATCACCAAGATGATGTGCACTTTTAGGACATGTGGCACTTGTTTGCTATTATGTAAGTAATCCAGAGCTGTGGGAAGATGTCTGCTTCTTCCTTCAACTGTCCTCTGTACCTCTCTTAGAAGAAGACAGAGCATAGGAAGCAGGGCTATTCTCACAGGCTGCAGACCTCTTAGTTCAAATATTTCCTTTACCAGCAGCCACACACTGTACTTCACTAAAAGTGTCTTATTTCAGTTCACCTTACTGTCCAATGAATTTTCATATTTTCTGTTTTGACTACTTGTATTCACTAACAATAGTCAAAACAGAAAGAAATACTGGATCAGTTTAAGAAAATAATTATAACAGGCTACAGTCCATTACTCTTATTAACTGAATTTGCCCATTGAGGGTTAACAGTTAAACCATTTCTGTTTTATATCTGGAAGAGATGACGATAGCCTTTGAAAAGAAAATTCAAATAACTGACAAACTCACCATATTCACTTATTTTGAATGTTATTCTAGTCTACAGAGTTTTCTAGTCACAGCCTACAGGTTTGTGCTCCTCAAAGAAAAAATAGTTAAACAGACAGGAATGTTTTTCAGAGAATTTATTGCATGAACTTACAGTGCAGAACTGCTTATATGGACAATCATAAAAACGACCTCTACAGTAATGCTGACTAAATGCAATTTACTCATTTGAAGTGTATGAATGTAAAGCTTCTGTTTAAACAAAAAGCCAGGCTCAGGTTCAATGGGATTTAGTTCTGAGAGCAAACACGTTAAAAGATGGATGTATTTTAGTAAAAGGACTAGGATAAGGACCTGGCTGAGCCAAGAAGATGTTTTATGACAAGGTAGTCAACCTACCTGTGTCTGAGGTTTCCCAGGAAGATAAGGAGGATAATAGCCTTTTTGCCCTTACACTGGATTGTGAAGCTTAACTCATAAAGAGCCTTATCCAAAACCATTAAAGCCGGTAGAAATCGCTTTGACTTTAATGAGCTTTTGTTCAGGTCCTTTACAAGACAGCTGAAAGACTGCCATTGACTTCAACTTCTAATTTTATAAATCTCTTTCATATCTTCAGCTTGGAGGCATTTGGAAACATGGAAAAGTATTAACAAGGATATTATATTTACCAGAGAATTCCCCATAAGATAAAATTGAACTTTTTTATTATTCTGAGTGTGCTATTTACTGCATGTGTGTATATTCAGGAATATATATATATATATATATATGTATGTATGTATCAGTTATTGTATGCACTTATTAATAACTTTTCTCAGATAGCATTACATGTTGGTTGCATAACAACCTCTGCCCTGCTGGATGCCAACTCTACACATTTAATCTGGACAAAGTACAGTTTACAATGACTTGTCCCTTGATTTATAGCCAGTGACAGATCCAGAATATAAATTGTCACTTTGTTTTTATGTTAGTATTATCCTGGCTGTGCAAGCAAAGAGATTAAGTGATCTGGCATAAAGTTAACCCTTTAAAATCTTTAAGAAATTTGAAGCAGTAGAGGACTTTAATACCTGATCAATTCTTCACAATTTGTCTCCTGCATTTCTGACCTAAGAAAGCAGAAGCACTGCCAGGAACAGTAATGTTATATTTCCTATGCTGTCGAAGTACAACCTCATAGTAAAAAGGCTCCCTAAAACAGGAAAACTACCAGAACTGAAAACAAGAAGGACAAACTTTAAAAAGTGGTACCATAATTATATAAGCTGTTCATTATTACATTCCTGTAGTATGCCATTTAAGGAATGCTAAGCTAATATCATAAAAGCTCGACTTCATTCTATAAGAATTTGAAAACAGTAACAGCCAATTGAGTAGAAATATCTGTTCTAGTTCAGGTAATTGAAATAAATTTCCAGAGATATATATATCTTATCCCGTTAAATAATAGTAAAAAGATGCAAGTTCTCTGAATATTTATTGGCTTTTATTCAAAACAGCTATTTTCAGCATTATGAACGACTGACATGACATATTTCCAAACCTGAAACAGTAGTATCAAAGCAATACTATTATATAACAGCTGCCATTCTGTATTACACAAAGCATTCTTTTTTTAAATATAACCTACAATAACCATGCACGATTTAATTTACTCCAATATTCTGGAAGGGTAATTAATATTTAAGTTTTAATCATATAGAAAGTTAACAGCATTTCTAATTCAGCACTACCCACAGATGTCCTGTTATTTTTGTAATATCAGTTAAGGTATTAATTTTATTCGAAGACACAACTGAGCAGAAAGGAAATTTTAGACTTCTACAAATCTTAGTTAAAACATTTTAATTTTATTTACACACTTCAGGAAAATGCCTTTCTATGCCTTAACATTCCAATTTTAGTCCTATAAAAACCATGCAATAACAAGAAATATAATTTACTTGATAATGTTTTTATGAACTAAGTAAAGATAATTTTATCTGCCAAGGTTTTACATTTTATAAATTCATTTCTCTCCAAAGGTGCATCTAATTTAGAATTTGATCAGTATCAAGGTTTTTGCTTTATCAACCTAACCTATTAGGCCATTACACATATTGCTATTCTCCAAGAGAAAAAAATTATTCTAACATCTGTTCTCAGTCTGGTTTTCCATAATTTCCTTTTATGCCCCATGTAACTCATTAAGCTCATCTACAAAACATTACTCTGTCTATGGTATATGCGCCCTTCCACTATAAGACTGCATGAAAATTGAAAAAATTGTAACCTACAACATAATCCACTTTAAAAATACGTTATTTTTACTAAATCTTTTGATCCAATAAAATATATCTGAATTTGCAAGTCAGAATTGTGACACAAGTGTCATTTAACCTAATCTCTTAAGGGACCTATATGCTAACTGAGAAAAATGGGTTCATGTCTTACCATTGTGCAGTCTGTTCCTTGTGACTGCTTCAGTGTTATGAGACAAAAACTGTTTAAGAAGTACATACCTTCTGAACATTTAGAAGAGAGTGATTTTAATATTTTAATTCACTTGTGCAAGTGATCTCCAGAGTACAGCAGACAAGGGGGTAGAAAATGCCCCAGTAACCTAAAATCTAACATGTGTAGAATGAAAAGGAACCTGGAGTCCAATGTGTCCTAAATACATTTTCCGTTTTCTTCTACAGATTAAAATTTTCTATATCTTATTACTCTCAAGCTAGTTTCCAACCCTATGATCTCTTCTGCCCCCTTTTTCCTGCATTCAACAATTGCTGCTCTAATTTAATTTCAGACGAAAATACTTATTTACAACTGACTTGCCCATAAGGTATTCATCAACACAACACAAAGGCCATTTTTCCTGCAGAAAGCTAAAGTATTCACTGTCAAAAACCATCTTACTAGCTCTTGAAAAGTGTCACTGCTGTAAGAAAAGTGACATATTATCTGATGTTAGCTAGCAGCTGATGACTGATGTAAGGTCAAAGTCTAGTCAAGGCGATTTTCTAATATTTATAAACATCAGTGAATTGAGAAAAAATCTGAGGGTATTTAGGTTTACCCCAACATGCTATCTTGCATGAAAGGTGCATGGTGCCTACCTTGAGGATTTTACCTTGCATTAATTTCTGTGTGAGCGGCTGTAAATCTGAAACCAATGCCCAGATAGAGATTCCTTATGCTCTGACTTTACATTGGCAATATATTTGTAAGTGAAAAGAAGATTAGTGGTTTTATGACTAAGATTTATGTTGGGAACGGAGAATGAGACAGAAAAGGAGAAGCCTACTCAGGGAGGAAAGGCATACCTTCATGGTGTAGACTGAATTAAACCCTGCAGGAAAGAACCTCTAAAACTAGTTGTTAGCAATCTTAGAAGATAGTAGAAGGAAAATAATAATGAAAAATAGCAAGAAATATCAGCACAAAAAACCCCAAGACAAACCAAAATAGAGGCAATAGCATCACACACTCCAAACCAGGCAGTAGGCCTTTATTGATTTTCTTCCTGAGAACAAATTATTTCAAGCTAATAATTGGGCTACACTTCCAGAAGTCAGACAAACTTATAAGGTCCTTGCTGTCATTAATTCAGTCTGAGTCAGTGAGGTGATTTCTGTATGAAATAGGTATGAAATGCATAAGAGTGGAAAAATCCAGCCTTGACAACTTGCCTGTGACAACCAGTGGCTTTTTATAATATCAGAAGAGCATTTTCTCTTAAAGATACATGTCAAAAACCTGCATTTGGAATAGGACAAAAAGGATTTGTATTTCCACAGCAGGATGCACAGTTTATGCAACTATTTCCTGCATGCTAGATTGAGTTAAAACAAGAACAGCAATCTACACAAAGTGTAACAAAACCAAAACCAAACCAAAACTAGAGTGCAGAGAAAGCATTTACTGTCTTCCTGATGAACAGAGGCATATCGCTACCAGTTAAGAAACAGATTTTTCAGGTTATATTTTGTCTTTATTCAATATGAACATGGCCCTATACAAAGAAAATGTAAATATTTATTTTGGGGAAAGTTCTTAAAATCTCTACCATTGTTCACAGACCAATTTAACAGTCAACGCTTACTAAGCACAGTTAACATCTCCTAATTTTTTATCCCAGCACTGGTGCAAAAGCCAGGCTGAGCTCCTGGGAGGAAGCCATTCCAAATTACATCAGCTGGCAACACATCCTCAGGGAGCATCTGTGAGCTACAGGGAGTTGGCTCGCCCTCTGGCTACTCCTCCAGTACATCCCTCCAAATTTAAAATGTCTACCGCTTTTCCTTCCATGTGGGGGAATTAAAAGGAGCCTTTATTCTTTTTATAACAGTTAAGAGCAAACTCAATCTCCATTGACCAAGACATTTTATGAAGTCTAATAATTCTCACAAAAATAATAAAAATACAATCACAATCAATTCATACTTGCTGTATTGCACAAATGACCCAGGAGACACGTAATGCTTTTCAGTTGCAAAGTGTAAATGATATGCAGAGAATTGACTTACCGGGCCAAAAGCATTGCTGTCAAAGCTGTGTCCATGGTGATCACCTTCCACCCAAATATGCCCATGTGGAACTTTTACATACTTCTTTTTGTATCCAATGGTTCTAAAAAGAATTGCATAAAAAAATCAGGCTAATCAGTTAAAAAGAAAAGTTTACAATGCTTTGTTAGGAAAATGCACATATTTATGGTTTTGGAACTTCACCTTGCACACCATCCAACACTTGCTTAAAAAAATCTGTGCTGAAGTCCTTTAGACTTCAAGAGTGCTACTCAAATCAAAAAACTTTAAAAGTTTGTATGATCTAGTTGCACTATCAGGGCCTGTTTACTATGTTGTTTTGGCAGAAATCACATCACAACAGAGAACAAAACTTTTCAGTTAAATATAATTAAGGGATTCTTTTTTCTGTATGTAGTAACAATTCTTTGAACCATCAGATTTTATCTCAGGTGAATGACAGTGGACACATGTTGCAGTCACATAAAGATATTGTATTGAGAATGCTTTTCTTCTAGGGTAGCATTAGTTCCTCAGCAAAATTAGTCTGGCATATCTAAACTGGCCTCAGATTCAGAGCTTGGATTCCTGTGATGTTTGTGTCCTGGGGGCAGGATTTCTTCATCTGTAACAAGCTAAACAGGATGAACTTTAAGGGAACCTCTAAGAGAAGGCCAAGTGTTGGAAAAAAAAAAAAAAAAAAAAAAAAGATATTGATGGTTTTGATGATTCAAGCAATTCTCCACAGAAATTCATACTGAAGCAGTTCCTTAGCATGACAAACTAGAAAGGAGTCCTAAAGCTGCAGTGCAGAGTATGCAAAATTCCTGTATTTAGTTCCCAAGTAGCTGCCATTTCCACAATTCTAGTCTGCCTTCTACAATTCACTTCTGCTTTCTTTCAGATGAAATTTGTTATTCTGAAATCATTCATGCAGAGAAGTGATTTTATCATGCACACCGAATTATTACCATGATGAAGCATTGACAGAGGGGACTATGGATAGTGATATCTCTTATTTTGTTTTGTATACCCAAGTCTGTCCATAGAGAGAAACAGACTTTTGATCTAGCTTGTTGCCTCCAGCTGCTCATCACTGTTCACTGTCTGGAAGATATGCTCCCAAAGCAGGAAGCAGAAGGAGCACACTCTAAAGAAAATCAACTGAAGAGAGAAAATCACCTTCACCAGGAGATTCAGCTGAACTGTGCAACAGCACTGATCATGGATGTCCACAAATCAAAATGGGAAAACTGGTTTTGGTGAGGTTTGTTTAGCTTTGGGGGGTGTGAGGATGTTATAAGGGAAAGCTAATTAAGAACATGGAGACCATGACATTTTAGATGAATAAGGAATCCTCAAAAGTTCATTTTATTAACTTTGACATTATTAGTCAAATAAAATTAGTAATTATTTACTTTACAAGTCACAAAATCCAACCAGTGCTTTTTCAGACAGCTTTTTCTGGCAGCTAAAGGATGAGCATGCCAGAACTATAGTCTAATGGAAGTTCTACCCGAACTTTCATTGGGAGCTGAAAAAAACAATAGCTTATTTGCATAAAAAAAAGACTCTGATTTTCATTTTTCTTTAGAACAGATTAATATTACATAGTATTCAAGACTGAGTTTCTAAACCATTCAAAACAAAAAGGCACAACTGTTCTGAGATCGTAAATATATGATTTCTCAAACACAAGTAGTTCTGTAATGATTTAATTATGCTAAAAGAGCAATTTATTACTGTGCAATTCCTTCGGTGGTGGTTTTTTTTTTTAATAAATATGACATACAGTCTGAACAATAAAATTATTTATGTTTTGAGATTCCATAATGTTTTGTGCCAATGATAATTTATTTTTTAAAGTACCTTATGAGACTATATTTTGCTAGAAACATGATTTAAGATATAGGTTGAGGGAAGCTGGCCATTAATTCTGTTCTCTCTGATCAGATAATTTGAAAATTATTCAATTAATATCTTCCACCAGTGATAAAGGCAAACAATAGCTCAAAAAATATTTAATTTTCCTTCCATTCATCTTCCTGAATATAGAAGAATAGATTGTGATAAAGTTTTGTACCTTTACAGACTTCATGTACAAGACTGAATTTCACCCAGAAGGGAGAAAGGATTTGAAAATTAATTCTGCTGGCATGTTTACCTCAAAAATGTCAGGAAAATAATTTGGCAAATGCCAGTCAGTGACTCCATCTCAGACTGGACACAGTCTTCTACCCCAAATAATCTCCATCCTTTATTATGATTAAGAAATCACTAACAGGAAGGGGGAAAAAAAAAAAAAACAACAAACAACAAACAAACAAAAACAACAACAGCCAAAAAAACCCCCACAAAAAAACAACCAGCTTTTGCAATAAGTACTTGGAAACAAAATAGAAAGAATTTCATCTGCATGGATAGGTCTTGCAGAGGTTTGCAAAGACCCTGTGAAAATAGAAAGGCTTAACACAGGTGTATAGTGCATTCTTTAAGTCCTAAGGCAAAAAGAAAAAGATTACAGAGTGCAGTAATTATCACTGGTTGTTTTTATTATTTCTACAACAATGGAAAATACATATTTTGTTTTCTTCTCTTGAAATAACCATCATAAACCAGAAAAATGTGATACAATTATGCAAAAATAAGGTGTCTTACAGTGATTAAAGAGGAATTATGTATAAATTGTCATATTGAAATAAGCAGATGATTGTACACAAGAAGTTTTGACTTAGAGGAAATAGAATTAAAATTGATGATGTTAATAAATGTATTAAGGGAATAGGGGAGAAAAAAGAAATGGAAAAGATACAGAAGCAGCAGTTCTAATTATCTACTTTAGTAGATAGGACTGATACTGCATGGTTAAATCTCTCTATAAGCTCAGCAGATAAATGTAAAACCTTGTGCCATTTCATGTATGGGGTATATAAATCATCAGATTTTTTCCCACATCTAGGTTCAATAGAAAAAAATTCAAGATAGATCATAAACAATAAGTACCTGTATACCTGTGAACTAAAGAGAGGCAAGAAATTCTATTTTCCTAAGACAATTCCTTCAAAATGTTACTGTAGCATTTGCATAGGGCAGTTATCTAGGGACTTCATATCCACTTCAGGGATCCTCCTGCAAAAAGTTCTGTGGACACAGGTGAAATCTGAAAACAAAGTTCTACTTGATGTTTTCACTGCATGAATTAGTAATGAACTGTGGCAATAAGCTCATGTTACAGTAAATTGGATCATCCATTACTTAATATTGGTTTTAATTTTCAAGATAATTTCATTGTTGCATTACTCCACAACAGATCAATAAACCATTCATGCAAGCAAACCAGGCTTCAGAAAGCCATATTCGGTTAATGACAGTAGGCTATATTTAATTACCTTTGCAAAGACTATGTTGACTTTTTTAAGAACAAAACCCCCCAAACTTGTAGTTTCCTCTCCTACGAAGAGAGCACAAATTGTCTCATAACCAAAATTAGTAACACTGTCCCTCTCTCACATGAATTTTGCAGAAACTAAACACTTTAATCTCTGGCTCTCTGACTTTTTTTGAGTTTTATTTCTCTTTTTGTTATCTTCCTTTTCATTAATACTACTACTACTATTTATTTTAGTTTAGTGATTAAACCATTCTTATCTCAACCCATGAGTTTTACTTTTTCCTTCACGATTCTCCTCATCCCATTGTGGGGGTAGCAGAGAGGAGTGAGTGAGTGGCTGTATGGCGCTTAGTTGCCAGCTGAGTTTAAACCCTGAAAACTAGCTAACTATTTTAGCTAGACATGCTGTAAGTAAACTATTACCCACCTTTTGATGGAATCCTACTACGCCAAATTACTAATACAAATTGTACTACATTTTTGAGAAGTGTTGACTCAACCCTTTTTCTTAAGGATAGCTTTGCAGACAACTGCCATCCACTTTTGAGGTTTAGGACCATGTAAATGTATAATGATCAATAGTTCTATAAGAAATTAATACAATTTAAAGTGAAAAATTCCTGAAATACTGCTAGCACTCTTCAAAACCACCACCAACAAAACCTAAAATCCTCAAGCCAAATATCAATTAAAAGCACAATTAGGTCATCAGGAATTTTACAATAACTCCTTCTGGGAGGCCTTTGCTACAAAAGAAATGCATTCAATAATGTACCATATATTTTGAAAGTAATGCAAAAAACCTATTTTTCTTAGTTGAGTATTCTTAGTCTCATTTTTCTGACTTTGCCTGTAATCATGACCTCTTTGTTAGATCTCACACATGAAGTATTTAATTAAATTTAGAAGACATCTGAATGAATTCTTAGGAGAACAATTGGTGTAACTAATAATTAACTTAGAATTTGTTAATTTCATATCCAGTTCATTAGCATGAGTTATAATTAATGAACATCTTTTAAATTTCAGAAAGCCTCTACTAATATAGGACTGGTCTTTCACTATCTAAACCTACTATCTTTGAAGTAAAAATAAAGACAAACTATTTAAGACCTCATACATTTCCCATTTTAAAGATTTGCTTCAGGAATAGCATAGGCAAAGACATTAAAATACCCAGATCTTTATACATAGTATTCAAGCATCTGTTAAAAACCATAATGGTGTATGCCAGAAAATATTTCAGGTTTTAACAAAGTCTTTGACAGGTTATTAATAACCACCTATGCTACTGTTGCTCAAACTGGAGTTAAACTCTCACTGGCTTAAGAACAGAGCCTACACAAGTTGTAGTAATTTTCTTGATCAGAATGTAATGGAATTACATTTATCTTTTTAGTCATTTTTACAGAAGTTGGTCTGAAATTCAGATTTTTTTTTTCTTACATCTGAGGTACATTTTGAACCTTTGCAAAGGTTTTTTTCTCCATGATTTAATAGTTAACAGATGTACTTATATCTATCCTTGGCTGAGAAATCATTTCAATCTTGACAGTCAAAAATGAGCTCTATATGGTATTCTAACCACCTGCCCACAAGCAGGAAAAATCTGCTTTTTTAGGATGTGGTACCAATGCCAAAGCAAGCAACTTGGCTCAGCTAAGCTGGATGAGGAATGGTTGCCTTCAGTTTGATTTCACTTTGAGAGATCA